CCACCTTCCACTCCCTCTCTCCTCCGGGATGCAGGTAAGACACGCATTATTTCTCTCGAGTATGCGCGGGGTTTCCTTTTCTTCTGCCATTTTTATTCAAATAAGCTGATCATATGTGACCATCTGCGCTGTTTCTGTATCTGTAATGTCCTCGAACACATTCAGAGATCAGCATCAGCATCATCAGCATCCGCAAGCAGTGATGCTCAGCATCCTTGTGTTGTTGATGTGGATCAACAATAACGCCCTTGTTATTGTTTCTTTTCTTTTTTCTTGTCTTTTTTTCAGGCACTGATTTCATGTGTGTGTAAAACAATGCACTTATGAAATTGAGTGAAGGACAGATGACTGATGTTTTTTTTCCTGGCATGTCATTGCCTGACGCATCCTCTCTGAGATAGTTGGCATATACTGGAAAGGCCCACGCCCTGTTGTGATGCTCATAACGGCATTTTAAATTTTGATCACATATTACAGTGTTCTCATAATTGTGTAATTATATAGTGCTGTGTAATACTAATGAACAGTGGGCCTACTTAATTGTGTTTGCGGAGCTGCTTGTAATTGCACATTATTATTGGTATTACTGTAATATTACAGTAACATCTAATGTGGTTATTGAATGTAAGTAGTTACCTTATTCTATTATCATTTTGTACCGCAATTTAAGTCCTACAATTAGCGAAAAATTTATTTTAAAAAATGATAATTTTAAGGGGTCATATGATGCGATTTCAATTTTTCCTTTCTCTTTGGAGTGATACAAGCTCTTGGTGCATAAAGAAGATCTGTAAAGTTGCAAAGACTAAAGTCTCAAATCCAAAGAGATATTCTTTATAAAAGTTAAGAGTCAGTCACGCCTACCTAAAACGGCTCGTTCTAACACGCCCCCACATATCTACGTCACGATGTGGGAAGATTTGCATAACGCCGCCCAAATGTTCACGCAAAGAAAGACGGCATAACTTTTATTCTCGCTGTAGTATTATTGCCGCCGCCGCCGTGTTGTGAAGGCGCTGTGTGTTTCGTTGTGAAAGCGAAACTACTTTGTTTGGTCTTCCAAAAGAGGACGATATCGCTTCGTCATGCCTGGAGCTGATCCGTGCTGGTCGCTGAGGAAATACATCAACTTTGCGCTGTGGATTACCGGATCGGCTTTCACCGTGGACAAAGCGGAGTCCAGGCCGGGGTCGTCACATGTGGTTGCCGCAGGCATCACAGTATGGTAAGGGACGTAACATTTCCGTCACACGCTTGAGGAATTCGGCCAGTCACAACGCGCTGGATAGCTGGCCAATCAGAGCACACCTCGCTTTTTCAGACCGATGAGCTTTGTAAAAATCGACACGTTTCAGAAAGGCGGGGCATAGAGGAGAAACAATAATGTACAGTATGTGGAAAATAATGTGTTTTTTGAACCTTAAACCGCATAAACACGTTTCATTACACCAAATACACCAAATAATGTTCTTTTTAGCAGCATCATATGACCCCTTTAAGATCGAGTTTTGATGTGCAGTGCATTATTGGCTAGTAGATTCTTGCCATGTGAATGTACCTAATACAACTGAGTATTAGTCATTTAAATGGATGAATAGAGTCATGTCACTTTCTGAAAACAGTATATTCTCAGTTCTATTTAACTGTAAAAATTGCAGTTGCTACTGTAAGGATCTATTTCCACCTGATCCAACCCTTAAAATGACTTTCATTGGTGTAACACAATAGTCAGGTCGAGATATATTAAATCATATATTTGAATTGAATAAAAGCAGTTAATTTAGATGTTACTGCATAAAGTTCAGTTTTAGATTATTTGACAAAAAATTTTTATAGTGTAGATTAGCACAGTGCTTTCAGCTACTGGTGCGTCATCTTTCGCCTGTTATCTGCTACAAGATGTAGATTAATTTGTTTATGCATTAGAACAGATTTGGATAAATGTATCATTAAATCACTTGCTCACCAAGAATCTTCTGCAGTGAATGGGTGCCGTCAGAATGAGAGTCCAAACAGCTGATAAAAACATCACAAAAATCCACAAGTAATCAACATGAGTCTATCAGTTAAGTGTTGTGAAGTTGAAAGCTGTGTGTTGAAACAAATCCATCATTAAGATGTTTTTCATATCAAACTCTTTCCTCTGGCTAAATATGAGACCTCTATCCATAATACAGTTTTCTCTAGTTGTCTCATCTGAATCACAAGAGAAATGTGCACAGATAAAGCACCTTTTACAAGCGAAAACAGTCCAAAGCAGTTTTAAAGAAACATGTATGTCAAATATGGGAGAAGATAACAGTGGATGGACTTGGAGGACGTGTTATTCTTGGATAACCTGAGAGGAAACTTTTTCAGCAAATTTTTGTTTTTGGGTGAACTATTCCTTTAAAACATAATTATTTTAAATGATTCAAATAATTTTGATTTACTTCATTTGGGTTGTTGGCTTTTTTTAAAACAAAATATCTGATCCTCTTTTGATTGAATTGCTCGATGCAAGTAAATTTTAAAGTGCGGTGACAGTAAATGAAGTATAGTTTAGATTTAGCCAGTTTTGAAGGGAAATTGTTGGCTATAACCATCCCAAGAGTGACAGTTCATTTTCTCCATAGCACGCTATAGTCTTCCTGTCACTCTATCATCTAGTGCATTAATGCAAAGGTGTGTGTTGTATCACATTTTATTCCTGAAATGAAGGTGATGTTTAGTCACAAGGTACATTCAGTCTTGGCAAACACACATAGTCAGACAGACCGAGAGACAAAGTGATCCTTCCACCTTTATACTAAAACTACATTTCCCTCAGTACATGTGAGCGGAGGTAAAACAATCAGAACATCCTAAGCTTCCAGCAGAATGAGTCAAAAGAGTCTGGCAGGTCACATCACATGTCTGATAGTCTGACGATCTCAGGTCAAGCGTCGACCTGAAGCCCCATGCTGGAACAGGGCAGGTCTTAAAAAACAGCTTAAAAAAAACAGCCAATGTGATGTTTTTGTTGTCAGCTCAAATTGATGCACCTCTTTCCAGCTGTTCTTCTCTTAATCTACATTTTTGTAATCCTTTTTCTCTCATTGTTTACTTTACAGTGGAATTGTGGGTTCGTATGCTCTCCTTGTCCTCCCATAAACCTGTCATCTCTCAGAGTAGAAATAATGGGCCGCACTCTGCATTCTCTAATGCTTCAGGATGATGTCTCTCTCGATTCAGATTGAAGTAGCTTTATAATGATAAAAAGGCTTTGTACATTGTACACATTTGTACATGGCATACCCTCTAGCTCTCTGTTTATGTGCATGATTTACATCACAAATACTTTGTACTCTGAAAAAATTGGTATGAAAAAATGTTCACTTAGAAATGGTTACATTTCACAAATAATTACAAAAAGAAATGGCAAGTAACACTGAATTAAATGTGACATGTTTAACTAGTAAGATGGAAATAGTATTTTCTTCTAAAAATGTAATCTAACTATCTTTGTTTTAATTGCAACTTCAAAAAAATCTTTTATTACAGTGTGTAGCCAAAGCATTTGAAGTGTAGATGCGTACAAAAAGTGCAAAACGTATATATTAAATGGCTTAAACTATTACGTAGAAAGTAGATATTTGTTCTGTTTTTGATCTATTTTTGCTTAATCTAATAATAATAAATCTAATTCGTTGTAAACCAGTTAATTTAGATGTTTCCACATGACGCTTATATATTTTTAAATATATTTCTTGAAAAAAAGATATAAAAAGAAAAAGGTGAAGCATTAGTTCACAAAAGGGATTTTCCCATTTCTCATACTGTGTGTGGGTTGAATTATGGCATGGATTTTCACTGACCAGGGAGCATAGTGTGGCTCTCTGTGTGTGTGTGTGTGTGTGATACGCATGGCTCAGCAGTACTCTTAGGTAATGCACTGTGGTGTTAGGGCTGATGCTGTCTCTACAGAACCTCAAGCTTTCTCAAATAGACACTGCATGGAGACATAAAGAGACGAGCATAGCACACAAACATACTAATGCAGTGTAGAATACACCCATGAAAGCAGCCTCTCCTTAAGCTGTTTTTGTAAGTCTACAGCTGCTTCCTTTGGAATACAGAAATATTATGAAAATGTTTGTGTGTGTGTGCATGTTGGAGCGGCTTCTGAAAATGAATGTTTTATGTTTGGCAGTAAACATCTGCTTAGTTGCAAGAATCTTATTGCTTCTTATCAAAGTTGAAACAGTTGTGCTGCTAAATATTTTTGTGGAAACTATGATGAATTATTTTCAGGATTCTTTTACACAGTATGGTACAGTACAGTATGGTCACACGACATTATCATATCATATAGCATATGAGAATGTTTGGTGACCTACCTGTGATCTAATCAGTGTGTCTAATGAGAATATTGATTGTGGCTAATTTCCAGCTGTTGTGTTGCTGTGAGTCACGAGACGTAATTTAATTAAAGAATGAGAAGTGTATTGGGAAGGATTTCTGGTCTGTTGTCACACATGCCCTTAGAAATGTTTTTTGAAGCATGAACTGTTATATAACATATCTTTGAATGGTATGCTGCTGTGTTGTACTAGTCTGATACACTGACGTTAAGTAAACAAATTGAATTCATACTTGATTGGCACAATGTATGTATATTACAATATTTGATAACAAAATGTGTCAATTGACTAATCAGAATCAAGTATTCTAGAGATCCATGTTCTAAATATAAATATTCATCCAACCATAAAGGCATAAAGACACATATCAGCTTCTTTATCCTTTGTCCTTTTCGCTACAATTTTAGCCAGTCTTTTGCAAAATCTCTCATGACTCGTCTAACCTTTATGTCTTGCACATTTCTCTCTCTCTCTCTCTCTCTTGCTCTCCTCATTTACTGTTCTGTCGTTTCCTTTTCTACTTCTTTCCTCATAATTAATGCAGACACTTACAGTCAAGTACTGTGTATAAGTCGATGCTGGGTTTCCTGGGCTTTTGCTTCATTAGTGTCCCTTAATTCTCAGATCATTCTCTTTGTTGTTTAGATGTAGA